ATATACATGAATACACACGTATATTCATACAGATACATGTATGTGTATATGAAACACATACATACATTCATACATATTTATACATACATACATACATATATATATATATATATATATATATATATATATATATATATATATATATATAGGGTAACGACGGGTCGCATAGCCGCATCCACCCTTTGTTTTCATCTTTTCGGATCCTTCATGGCAAGCGCGCCAGGAAGGACTCGGCTCGAGCTCCTTCACAACAAGTTTGATCGATCTGCCCAAACCACGACCTCCTAGGTCGTCCCACAGGCCTCTTCCACCCAGGGTTGTCTCTTTTACAGAGACAACCTGGTGGGCAGGATCATCCTGTGGGAAGCGAGCCAGATGGCCATATAACCTGAGTTGGCGATCACGGATTGTGCAGGTAGTAGGTCCTGTGTCAGTATCACGGTACATCAAGATGAGACTCCAAGGCATAGGATAATGTCCAGGTTTCACTTCCATATAACAAAACTGGCATTATCAGGGCCTTGAAAACTCGTAGCTTGGCTTCTTAGACTCTTGTCGAGAGAGTTTATGACCTCTGCTGCCAGGCCAATCTGTCTCCTGACTTCCTGGTCTGATAGCCCATAGTTATAAACTACACTACCAAGGTATGTAAAATTCTCTGTGACTTCAATGTCTTTGCCGTAAGCATGTACCGACCGGACAGGCTCTCCTAGCAAGTCCCCAAAGTCCTAGATCTTGGTCGTGGTCCAGGATACCTCTAGACCAAAGGGCTTTGCTTCATTACAAAACACATCCACAGCCACCACTAGGGTTTCCAAAGACTCAGATAGAATAGCAACATCATCGGCAAAGTTAAGGTCTGTAACTTTGATATTGCCCAGAGTTGCTCCCCAATGGCTTTGAACAGTAGCTCTGCCCAGTATCCAGTCCATGCATGTGTTGAAAAGTGTAGGTGCAAGGACACAACCTTGCCTCACTCCTGACCTAACAGGAAAGAAGCTCGACAGGCCCCCACCACACCTTATAGCACTTTCAGTACCAGTATAAAGACTTGCTATTAGTCCTATAATCCTTGTTGGAATTCCTCTCAGTCTCAGGATCTCCCAAAGTGATTCCCGATGCACTGTATCAAAAACCTTCTTGAGGTCGATGTAGGCTGCAAGCAGGCCACAGCCTAACTCACGACAGCGCTCTATAATGACTCGAAGCACAAGGATACGGTCTATTGTGGACTTACCAGGAGTGAATCCTCCAGATGGTCAGGACAGCATGGCACCATAGGTTCACCACCATCCTTAACAGTTCAGCTGGATGCGAAAATACCCGCTGTTTTGCCACTCTTGGAGATATCCCCTTAACTTTAGTTAGGGCAGGTAGATCCTTATTGATGGGTGGGTCCGCGGAATCACGGCACTATCCAAGTTAACTGTTGGTGGGTCAACCTGACACAACTGCTCAAAATACTCAGCCCAATGCTTCCACACCGCAACAGGATCTGAGACGATCTGGACACTTACTAAGCGAGTTGCAGTCACCTGTAAAGAGGGCTTGGAATTCAGCTTGGTATGCAGGACGAAGATCATTTACTAAGAAATGGCCTTCTACTTGCTCTGCAAGATTCCTAATAAACTGTAACTTGTCCCTTAACAGAAGGCCTCTCTTGCTGGGTAGGAGGGGCATTTCCCCTCCCCCAGTATTTCCAATTATATGTGACATTGCCGATGGGTTATCTCTGGGAGGAAGAGGACTGACAAGGCCCACCTCCCCCGAGCCTCCCATTAATCCCAGGGGGCTTAGGGGCAGGAGTTAGTACAAGGCCAGGGCGTGTCCACACGCGGGTGAGCCATGACCCTGTACCTCTGGGGCCTCCTGCTGCTCCAAGATCTTCTACAGTTCAGCCTGAGGCGCAAGGTACCAGTTTCCATAGGTGGCCACGAGGAGGCACTGCTGAAGTCTCGATTTTGGAGAGGGCAGGGGAGACGTGCAGCGCTGCTTCCTTTTTCGCACTAGGCTAGGCATGCAAGCACTTAACACCATCTAGGCTACCATGCTGTCGCTTCACACCACCCTGCGCATGAAGCACCCCACCCATATATATATATAATATATATATATATATATATATATATATATATATATTATATATATATATATATATATATATATATATATATATATATATATATATATATATATATATATATATGTACATACATACATATATGTGTGTGTGTGTTAACTAAAATACAAGCACAATAACGTGTACACCCATATAAGAGCAAACACTGCCACACTAAACACGAAATAATGAAATCAAACCCGCTCTTTTCACTATTACGCCTATATATAACCAAACATTCATCATACAATACATAACAACATGTCATGAAACCATACCAAGATACCAAACCTCTCCCTCTCGTGGTCTCAGCTGTTTCGCAGGTGTTGAACCAGCTGGGCAACGTCGGGAGTTACATGGAGCCGCTGCTGGTCAGGTCGCCGAGGAACGGGACGACGACGGAGGAAATTCGGAGTGATATCAAACGGCTGCTTTATATTGGTAAGGCGTTTTTCTTGCTGTTCTGGTCAGTTGTTGTTGTCATTGTAAGAGTTTGGGGGCGTAGAGGTTGGTGGTGAATTAAAGGGGACTTGCTTGAGGAGTTTATTGAGGAGGTAAGGCGTGACCCCTGAGAGTAACCCTCCGCCCCGAGCGAGGGTGGAGAGTGACCTCCTGCCCTGTGACTCCTGCTAGGTCTTGGTTTGCCTCTGGTGCTCTCTCCCTCTCTGCCTGACGAGACGTCCTTATATCCAGCGACTCCTTGTCCTGCTGGCGGAGGTGCCTGGTACCATATTCTTGGGTGTCCATTCTTCAGGGCGTGACGAAGGGCTTGGTCGCCGGAAGAGAAAGTCTTGGGCTGGCAAGGAAGGTGTGGACAGCTGTTTCCTCTGGACTGAGAGAGGAAGGCACAGCTTCCGTTTCGACCTTGGGAGGACGGAAGCATATTGCTGACAGTTGTTTTCTGTGTTGTTAATGGTACAGCTATTATTGTTATTACTATTATTATCAGTGTACAATTATTATTATAATTGTATTATGATTATTATTGTTTTTGTTGTAATCATTATTGCTATTATCAGTATCATCATTATTAATATCACCATCATCATCATCACTGTTATTATTACTTTTAAACATCCAATCTCATATATACATACTTTGAAAAAAATAAAATAGATAAATTAGCAACTCATCCCGGATTCTTTGGTAGTCCGATACGCCGTCTCTTGTCTTTATTCTAATCACCTGACATTAATACTTATGTTTGGACGTGCTTTGCATTATTAAATTTTATATACGATATGTTTTATTGTTTTGTTTCGTTTTCTTTTATTTTGATTTTTATGTACTACCTTTAACAACGGTCTAGTATTTTTCTAAAAAAAAAAAAAAAAAAAAAGAGAGAGCGTGGTGAGTTGCCAGTTTTTGTTTTTGTTTTTCCTTCCCGAGATTGGATGGAGCATAACTTTACAATGGGTCTGTTTTTCTTCATCTTTTTTCTTGTCCATAAAGACGCTGCGATTGCTGTCGCGTTGTTGGCGGCCATCTTGGTGTATTTCCCGAAGAAGCCTCCGCTGCCGCCGTCAGTTACGTCATCCGTTGAAAGATACGATTTTCTGACGAGCATAAAAAAGGTGTTCAGGTGGGATGAGGCTTCGTTGAGTTGGGTTGAGTGTATTGGATTTTATTCGTAATACACACACACACACACGCACACACACACACACACACACACACACACACACACACACACACACACACACACACACACACACATACACACACACACACATATCTATAGGTATGTGTGTGTGTGTACATATATATGTATGTAGGTGTGTTTGTATTCTATTTTATTTGCTTCACATTTTCTTCTGAAGGCATCTACCTTGATCTGTAAATGATGGTGAAATGTAAGAAAAATTAACAGTTAAGAAAGGACAATATGAAATCATTTTCCCTTTTAATTCTGTGGCTGCATTTTATCTCATATTTTTCCTTGTTTCTTGTCATGTAAATCACACACTATATGACAGTATCCACAGCCGTAGATGACAATAGATAGCTACATAGAAAGTCATATTGAATTTATCTGTGTAGATGCATGTGTGCGTGTACTATAAATATAAATATCCGTGCTATAGTGTGTATTATCTATATATAGGGCGTGGTTCGTGTGCGAGCAAGTGGTGTGTTATTTTATTATAATACTCATGCTCTGTTATGTGATAGTGATGATTATTAATATATAATATATATATATACTATATATATATATATATGATGTGTTTATGTACTGCACTATTATTTCGTAAACTTGAGCAGGTGGATTCATGAGCAGGAGTAAGTTCATGTGGTAAGTATCTCTTTGTGTGATTGTGGTGTGTGCGTGTGTGCTACCGTGTGTGTGTGGCGGATCATTGTCTATATACTATAATATNATATAAATATATAATAATATAAAATAACATATAATATATATATATATACATATATATATATATATATAGTAATAATATATATAATATATATATATATATATATATATATATATATATATATATATATATATATATATATATATGTAGCTATCTATCTATGTATGTGCATAAGGATCAGCTGAGTGTGTATTCAACTGCGTGAGAGAGGCCTGGAGGGCGAGTGAGGTCACCAGCGAGACCCGGCTGATATGTGGGGTCTTGTCCATGAATTTCTAAGGAAGAGAAGTGAAAGTGATACACTGAATTGGACGAAAAGAAAAAGAAAAGCAATGTAGTGTGGATTATTGGCCCATTCCAAATAATATTCCAACAGGAACAGTGACCCCTTCAAAATACAAAAAATGGGGGGAGGGCAGAATGAAATGTTACAAAATCAGGTGGGTTCTCATCTCCATAGTGATCTGGACCAAAAGGTGGAGACCAGCAGAATGCACGAGTGAACGGGGCAGGTACTCTTAGATAGTCAGGCATTTGGTTTGATGTTTTGCTTTGCCAGTGTGCCCTCTCCCCCTCCCCTCCCCCCCCCCCCCCACACAAGAATACACTCCACGCCTTTATTTTGAACACAGCATGAACAGTTTGAATAACGTAAGAAGTGAGAAGTTGGATCGGTGTCAGGATGGTGAGTGGATAGAGATAGTGAGAGACTAGACTGGGAATTTGGAAGACGGTTTTGAGAGGAAGAGGGGCCTATGCCGCACGTGCCACTGAAAAGCCTGGGATTCTTATTGACATTAATATGAAGTAAAATTTTCCGCAGCAAAGAAGAGGGCAGGATATTTCAGTAGGTAATGAGTAAAACATAAAGTCTTCTGATATAAGACCGGTTTCTAGTTGCAGAACAGTGATGATTCCATACCTCCCTTGTGTGTTAATCTACATCATACTATGACTGTCATTACATATCTTAAAAATAATCAACAATGAAGATATTTTCATGGCAAGCTTCCAATAGTACATAATACAATTTGCAAGCTCTCTGCTACATTCTCCTTATATTAAAAGCAGGTAAACCATGTAAAACTGACACCTTTATCAGCTACACTATAAATGGGGTAATTATTTTTTATGAGTATGTTTAGGGATCAACACTTTCCATTTATATATTATCTCTTATACCCAAAGGCGAAATTTGAATTAAGCTTATATATATATAATATATATATATATATATATATATATATATATATATATATATATATATATAATAATAATATATATACATATATATATATATATATATATATATATATATATATATATATATATATATATATATATGTATATATATCAACAGTATAAGCATTTAGCAAATGGAAAGAGAGGCAAAAGTCTATTATCTAATATTCCAAGAATATGTCAATACATGGTTTAAAAAAAGTGCTCAGGCATTGTGCATTAGGGCAGAGGAAGCCAGACAACAGGCATTGGAACCACACTGCATCTGGCGCTTTCGGAAAGGAGTTAAGAAAATGAAAATAACAATTATTGTCTGGGATGTGGTTTTTGTCGCTGGCAATATTAGGAATATCTGCATTTCACACTTTGTACTCGGCCACTCATAATCAGATGTTCACTGTACAAGAAACTGTAGAAATATCTCGATATTTAGTTATTACATTTGTGTGTGGGTGAATGTTCTTCCTGGTGATGGTGATGGTGGTGGTGATACGGTGATTCAGTGAGGTGTGGGAGATTATTTTCTGTGATACTTTTTCCAGTCAGAAATCATTCAACTCGTTGGTGAGTTCATGTGACCTGCATTACCTTTGTAACCACCTTTGTAATGGCTGAACTTCTGTTAAAAAGAAGTTTAATATATTAGTATAAGAAATCAGTATATATTCTAGAAGTGTAAGAAAGGATAATACCAGCAAAATTATCATTATTTGTATACGTTATATCTACTGTCTTCTTAACACCCAGTTTACTCCTCACCAATCTTAAAAGAACTCGCATTTTGACATGCAGAAAAAATGCTTTTTTCCACTGTCATTACATATCCACAGTTGCAAAAAGAGAAGGAAATAACAGGAAAAAATCACGGAGACTGCATTGATTTGGTGCAATTAAGATTCTGAAAAGTGAAGAGAATTTTGTAAGGATGTTAGAAGCCATCAAAACAAAAGCTGATCAAGTGTTTTTTTTTTTCTTATCAGTTCCTGTTACTGTCACTGGAAGTGCTTTTGCTAAATTTATTAGTTTTATGAAAAAGAAATTAAATACGTGTCACATATATGACAATTGAAAGGAAAGTGTCCTGGAAACTGACAATACTATATATGTTGACTCTTCTCTCTTCTCATAGTAGCCGACTGGGAATCACTTTTCTTCCTCAGAAAAAAATACAAAACGACATGTGAATGAAAGAAATAAAGCATACAAGACTTCCATCAACAGAATAGTCGGAATGTATTGCTTAGGTGTTTTGTGTTGACCTTCAAAAGAAGATGTACCTATGCAACATGTTAGAACTGCCTCATGGGACTTCACATAGGAAACCAATGGCTTTTCCTCCCATGTCAAATAGTTGTTTTCGAAGGCACTGAAATGCTCCCAACTATAACCTTATTTTTTAATGAAATGTTGACCTTATTTAGGAAATTAAAAGAAAAAAACGGTGTACACTATTATAAAATGAAATAAGATATAGGGTATATTTTTAACACTGGCTTCCACATTAATTTTAGTGGATTCTCGTTGTTATATCTGGAGTGAGAAGGCAAGCCGCTGGGTCGCCAGAAGCCGAGGTTTTTGTGTGAAAGGAAATTGGCTGCAGTTCCTCTCGCTGCTTGTGACGCATCGGCCTTCCCTTGTCCCACCTACATGGATGAACAAAAATAAGAAAGAACACAGTAAGAAAAGAACTAATTTAGAAATACAACGCTAAAGAAAGCAATTTCCCTCGAAAGGACAAATCATAATAACTAGGTTTTATTT